TAAGGGGATTTGGGGAGGTGGGTATGTTCCGTCTGGGGATGGGGAGGTGGATGGGGGGAGGCTGGTTGAGGGGTTCTGCGATGGTGATGAGGAAGGAAATGCAGGGTTTGATGTTGTTATTGAGGCTACGGGGGCAGAGGCTTGTATTAATCTTGGGATAAGGGTTGTGAAGGTTGGAGGGGCGTTTATGCAGACGGGGCTGGGTAGGAAGAGTGTGGATTTTCCTATTGGGACGGTGGTTGGGAAAGAGGTGGTGGTTAAGGGGTGTTTTCGGTACGGGCCAGGGGATTATAAGCTCGGGATGCAGATGGCTGTGGAGGGGAGAATTCCGCTGAAAGGTTTTATTACGAAGATTGTCGGGTTTGAGGAAGCCGTTGAGGCGTGGGAGACCACGGCTAGAGGGGAGGGGATTAAGACGTTGATTAGGGGGGTGGATACGCCGGTGGAGGAGTAGGCTGCAATCTGCTGTATCGATCGGGTAGTGCATGTAACGCGTAGATGAAGCTGGATAGCTAGCTATAGTTCTATCCCCGCATGCATCCGAACTATGCCCTCTGTGCCTGAGTGGTCATCCTCTTCACTTCATCCTCCAAGATCTCCGGCAACGTCGCCTCAATACTCGGCTTCGTCGGCGTCCATCCCAACACCTTGGCTCCTCTCCTGGCACGTCCCCGAGAGTTCAAACCCCAACTCAGCGCCTCATAGCCACCAAATTTCTTCGCATCCTCCAAACTGATCTTCTCCTTCTCGACTCCAGGAAGCAAACCTAGCTCTGTCGCTGTCAACGCCGTTGCCACAGCCAGCTCACCCCAAACATGCTCCCCATTCTCAGTGAGATAATATGCTCTCTCCCCCCACAGCTCAGGATCATCCCGTCCATGCACGGCCGCCTCTACAAGCAACACATACAACTCGCTCAAATCGTGAATATGGATGTTATTCCAGATCGACTTGCCATCTCCAATGAGTGGTGCCTTCTTTAGTTGCAGGGTCACCTTGGCCAGCTCGTAGACTTGTCGTCCACGCACGGATACAGGGCCTCGACCACGTCCTATACAACACCCATTAATACCACATCCACCCTTAATTTCAAGAAAAGAATTTTAGCATACCATAGATAGTAGGCGGACACACCAACGCCGTCTTCACCACATCCCCCTTCACTTTGGCCGTCTCAAGTACTACCCGATCCACATTGCGATGAAACGCATGATCCGGGAGATTCAACAATTCGTCCACTCCGTCCCAGTCATCGTAGACCTTGTCACTACCTTCACCAAACACGTTCCGATCCGTGTCATGGAACGTAAGGATACCCGTGCCGCCGGTATGCAGCCAGTATCCCGGCTTTTCTTTGCTGTGGCCTAGCAATAGGCCTTTGGCGATGGCGTTCGCGGCACCTTCGTGGTCGGAGGCATCGGCGGTGTCTATGTATTTCTTTGAGTACACTGCTTGGATAGCCAGAGCGGTAGAGTCTAGAGAACAGGGGTGCGCATACGTAGAACGATATCAGCTTCAGCACTCTCCTTCTCCAAGAGGGCAGAGTCATCTAGGTCGCCGATGACAACTCTGATAGAAGGGTACTGGGCTTGGACCTGACCGGCCTTTTCCGGAGACCGGACCAACACAGTGTATTTGTATTCAGGATGCTTGGCGAATATAGCGTAGAGGGCATCGCCGCCGATGTAGCCGGTTGCGCCGGTGCTGGAGGTCAAATGTTAGCGAGATTTATATGCGGTAGTACGACCGAGTGGAGTGGTACATGAAGATCTTGGGCAGAGTGGTCATTTTGCCTGGATATATGCTTTTCAAAAGACTTAGTTACAGCCTAGGTCTTGTTACGTTTGGAGAGTAGCGCTGTTATATCTCAACTGAGAGGTATTGACATTAATAATATAGCTGTAGGCGATGAAGTCAGTCCGTAAGCCAATGACGTCGGATTCACCAGTTGGCGATTGATAAGTCCTTTCCGCCTGCCGAATTAGGTATGCTCGGCCGACGGCGGCTTCCGCCGACTACAAGTCCTGGGTTACCCCCTTCTCGACTCAGCTTAAACTCCGCATGCAGGGTTCGACGACTACCCTGTTACCCCTCCTACAATTGCCGGTTGGCGGAGACTTCGGGTGTGTTGTGGTGTTTCTGATGCTCAACTAATGGACTTGAGTTCGACATACTGCTGATGTAGAGGAGTGTGGTCCTGCTAGGCAGCAGGATATTTTGGGATCCGTGGCGCAATGTATTTAGCATCGAAATGAAGCTTTCATGAGACAATTACTTTTCTGGAAAGCGATCTACTTCAAGTACGGAGTTTTTGTTGAGCAAGAGGCCACAGATCACATAAAACCCTGAGACAGTGATATGCCTTGATCTGCAAGTCAGCTATCCTACCACTGCCATGACACAATCAGAGGATTGTGAACTGTGGGTCAAAGATAAGATCTTTGAACCATGGAAGCATTCCAATAAGGTATGCTCTATATCCACCCTTATCACTTATCAACATGATCAAATTTTTCTTCACCGGTGGGGTCTCGCCCGCAATGGCATGATCTCGACCCGAGCGTTGCTACAGTACTCTTCACGCCTGAAGAAGCTTGGGCGGGATGAAAATTCAAACTACCAATGGCATACATCTCAAATGCCGCTCCAAGTCATTCCACCGTTCTAATTCGACAGCCCGGAAGCCTCCAAGAACAGGACGCGCTGCCCCCTCCATCAAGGTGGGTCTCAGCTTTCTCCGAGGTCTGGCGGGTGAAATCTCTTCCACGCGTGCAACTCGCTTTAATGAGATTTGCTGCGCACATTCTTACAGAAATAAATATGCCTGGTGAGAAGTTTAGAGTACTAAAAATGTTATATCTGCTATTGTCATGTCTACCAAGATCATGGTTGGTATAGACAATATCACTTTCATCACGGCGTGACTCACGGTGCACGACCACCCGCATATCTCCGCGGCAAGCTTTTACGTACCAATCAAAGATAAGAAATGTGATCCAGTTTACTTGAGGGCTTGGCTATCGGGTGATATCCGCAGTGTCTCTGCGTCTACATAAAGCGGGGTTCTTCGCTGCCGGCTCTTCACTTCCCCTCTTCTCGCACTGCTCGCGCTTTCTGAATGATTAGTCTGGACAACATGGGTGCAGACCATATTGCAGCGGCCAGTGATGGCGTGACTCGTGAGAGAAACATCGAGGCCCAGAGTGCCTTTGCTTCTACTTTGGTGGCGGATGTTGAGAAAGCGGCTCGTCCTAAGGAAGCGCCCACTGATAGACCGCATACCAATGTCTATGGATCCACCATTGACACTCCGACATCTGTCGCTGGGACAGACGCCGTCTATGCGGCTAAGGCAGCGCTTTTGAACCAGGCTATGTTGGATATGGGTATGGGGTTGTATCACTGGTTTCTGTTCATTATTACCAGTGTGGGATGGTTCCTCGATAGTGTATGTCAAGACAGTTACCAAAAGAGAGAATATCGAGGAATTTACTAATAGATACAGTTCTGGCTGATGTCTTTCACGGTCATCGCCCCCTCCAGTGCCAATGAAGCCCAGTTCTTCTACACCGACAACAAAGAAGCCTACCTCTTCATCAGTCTGTACGTCGGACTCACTACCGGCGCCACCGCCTGGCCCTGGATGTCCGACATGCTGGGTCGGAAGTGGATCTTCACGAGCACCCTGGTCCTGATGGGCATGGGTGGTCTCGTCGGTGCCGGAATGCCGTCTTTCACCGGACTTTGTGTGGTTGGATTTGTTGTCGGCTTTGCAGTGGCCGGTAATCAGGTCATGGATGCGATGGTACTGCTCGAATCTGTTCCCGCATCTCACCAGTTCCTTGTCTCCATGCAGGGTGCCATGTGGGGACTGGGCCAGCTGGTAGCGGCGGCTGTAGGATGGTGAGTCTACATCCCCATCGCCAAATGACCTATCGCATCATCTAACAATCACAGGGCCTTCATCGCCGAATACACCTGCGGCACCGGTCCTGACGAGGTCAGCACCAGCGCAGCCCTGTCACACCAATCCCGCGCCGACCATTCCGGCAGTAGTAGCAGCAGCTCGCAATGCCACTACGTCTCCAACAAGGGTTGGCGCTATGTCTGGTGGACCTTCGGCTGCATGACACTCTTCCTATACCTGTGCCGATTCACTTTCCCGCTGCGCGAAACCCCCAAGTATCTTCTTTCCAAACGCCGCGACGCCGAAGCTACCCAGCTCGTCAAGGACATTGCCGCCTACAGCAACCGCAAGACCTGGCTTGAGGAGTCCTCCTTTGCTCGCATCGACTCAACCGTGGACGCCAGCGCCCCCGAGTCTCGCCGCCAGTCGCGCACCAAGTCCCTTCTGTCCTCTGCCGGAGCCATCGGCTTCCCCGTTCTCTGTCTCCTCTGGGCCATCACCGGACTGACCTTTACCCTGCACAAGACCTACATCAGCAAGTACCTCGCCACGAAGGGCGTCGATGCGGTATCGGCTACCTCCGTGACTACTGGATACCTGTACAGCCGGTACCTGTATGTGGCGCTGTGCGCAATCCCTGGTCCGATCGTGGTGGGTCTCCTCATCGAGGCGAAGGGGCTGGGTCGCAAGCGCACGGGATCTATCATCGCTGTGTTGACGGGTCTGTTCATGTTCTTGGCTACGGTGTCGCGCTCGAGGGATGCGCTGCTCGCGTTTGAGTGTATCCTGTCGTTCTTGCAGACGGCGACGATGGCTGTCCTGGTTACCTACTCGGTGGAAGTGTTTGCGGCTCCCTTCCGGGGCTTCGGGCTGGGAGTTGTGGGATTCTGCTGGGGAGTGTTTGGATTGATTGCTAGTATTATTACGACATTTGAGGGTGCTGTTGCCGATGGCGCTGCGGTGTGGTTCTGCGGTGCGATTTGGGTGATCATGGGCGGTGCTTGGATGGTTGTTCCTGAGACGAAGGGTCGGGCTGCTGCTTAGATGGGTGCTAATTGATGTGATGTGACATGGAATGAGTGATGAGATATGTACTCAAGTTGATGGCAGATTAAAAGGATTAATAGCAAGTAATGAAAGATCTATTTACAAGAATATTGCGTCTACAACGCCCTCCTATAAATTCTCTGGTAAATGATAGCCCCAACCCCAAGCACAGCAGAGACTCCCAACAACCACTTCGCAAATCCTCCTCTTTCCTTCCTCTCAACTGTGGGCTTCCGAACCATATACCAAGGCACAAAATTACCCAGATCTTCTCCCTCACTAACAAGCTCAAACCCATGCTTCAGATACACGGGCCTTGCCCCAGGAGCAGAAACCACAAACGTTTCGAGACCCTCTTTATCCGCGCGGCTTGTTCCCCACTTGATCATCCTCGACGCGACGCCTCGTCGTCGGTACTCGGGCTTCGTGCCAAGCATGTTAAGATCTGATCAATTAGCCATATCCACGACCAAAACCACTTAGTCCAAGAAATGAGGAAAGATAAAAAGGTGTCCCATACAATAAAACCTCCTCTCCCCCATAATACTTTCAACGTTTGTTTTAAACTGCTCCAATGTTTCCTTGAGAAGCTCAATATCACCGACGTGAGATGGGTACGTGGCGAGGAGTTCTTGAGTTTCGGAGTCTTTACCCTCAGCAAAGTCTTTATTCTCATCGCCGTTCGCTGGATGATCTTGTTGTATGGGGGCAGGGAGCTTCCACTCCAAGAACCCGACCAGATCATCATCTCGCTCCGTATCAATGACCTTCAGGATGTGGTACTTATCAAGCCCCTCCGTCAATTTTCGGGTGAAGCTGACTACCCACCATGAGTGAATCTCGGGGGTGTTGGGCCAGAGACGTTGGTCTGTGGGCGTGGTGAAGCATTGAAGGTAGAGGGTTGCGAGCGCGTCGGCGTCGGAGGGGGTACAGGGGAGTTGTTTGAGCATTTTGAATCCCTTTCTTATGACTTGTGATGTTGTTGCTTTAGTAAGTACTGGGAGTTGGATTTGCTGAACAGAACAGAATGACACACTCAAGGTGTGAGAGGAAAAGCCAGGAATCGCTTTAAAATTAAATAGCCAGCTAGTTGGCTGTGCCAGGCTGCCAGCACGGCTTACGGAGATTACGATTCTTTTGCTAACGCTAAGATAGTATCTATTCGCGCTAAATAATCGGTGCAAAGACATGAATGGCTGAGAGTGAGATGAGGATTACTGCCCGGCACTTGGTTGGACTAGTGTGGCGCTAAGATGCATTAGTAGGTTCTTGTCAGGCCACCACCATTTCCTGTTAATCCGCTTGGATGCCTGTACTTTAGTGATCGTAGACATTAACATTATCATTAGATTTCTGATACATATATCAATATGCGTTGAACCCTTTGTAGCTGGGGTCTAATGAGTCTTCTCCAACATGACAGGCTCCGGACTCCGCATTGGACTCGACATCCGCGGGTCGTGCGGGTAAGTTTGGGTCTGACCCTGAGCCGGTGCCTGTGGGTGTGGGTGTGGGTGTGGGTGTGGGTACGCCTGCGGCTGTTGTCCCTGGTGGCCGTAGCCGTAGTCGTGGTGTCCCTCTCCCTGGGGATGTTGTTGTACCTGGCCTCCCTGTCTAGGTAAAAATGCCCGGCGATTCAATCCCTCTCTCGCATTCGAACGATTCTCCCCGCTCTTCGTAGCTTCAATTTCCCTCTTGACACCCTCATACATATACTCGATGAACTGGATTTCGTCCTGAATATCTAACGAACAACCAGCCAGACACAGCTCGCGCTCGCGCTGCTCGATATATTCCCGTATATTCCGCCACTCGTTCTGATAGTGTTTCAAGCGATCCGGCAGCCCCGAGCCCTTCAGGTAGGTCAGCACGCCGGCCATGATGGTGTTGATGGCGCCAAAGGCCGTCACAGCAGAGTGCGGACCACTGGCGGCGCCAAGAGCCGTTAGGGCAGCGGCCACGACAATCTGGATGCCAAGACAGACGTTGATGAGGATGCTGAAGAAGCGGTAGCGCGTGGCAGCAGACTTTTCGGCCTCGACGACACGCGTGTAGATGCCGATGTTGGGGGCCTTGCGACTAAAGTGGTGCAGGGTGTTGAGAGCGGGGATGCTGTCGATGCCGGTGAGGGCGCGGAAGACGAGGAGTTTGTCTTGGGGTGGGATGAGGGAGCTGGCTTGTGTCGTGGAGATGGTGAGAGGGGGTTTGTTTGGGGGTAGGTGCGATGTTGGCATGGGGCCGTGTGTTGGGATGTTGGTTGGAGGCGTGGGCATGGGTTGGGCAGTGCTCGCGCTGCCGTTCGGGATAGGGATGTCATAGGGTGGGTTAGTATGATGAGAATGCCCTTGTGGGATAGGAGGAAGGCCTTGCTCTTCGCGATCGAAGGCGGCGTGGAGGAGCCGTCGGGCGAAGTTTGGTCGGCGATTAGGGACGGCCATGGTGAGTTGAGGAAGAGGAGAGGGTGAAAAGAGTAGCGGATTGTGTGCGGTTGAGTTGCTCGTGAAGAGGGTCCAACCCCTTTATTTGTAGCGGGGTGGTGTTTGATCCAAGCTCCTTTTCGTCATTTCCGGCATGGTGTTGGAGGGTTTGATGGTTGCTCAGCACACTTTGAAGGGCGCCACAATTTCTGCTAAGGACGGGAATGCCGTGCGCTGAGCGGAAGAATAGCAGAAAGAAGCCAAACAACACCCTGCATTGGTCCATTATTGGGGTGTCAGACCGTCGAGGGTTCAGCGGGCAAAACTCTGAAGATAGAGAGCTGGCGGGCTGGACCCTCGACCCACAGCGATCGACACAGTTCGGCACGAGACATGGGACGTGCACCTTGGCCAGCAGTGAGATATGAGAGGTGGAAGTTGGAACCGATTGGCTTGTCGGCAGTGGGCCATTCATGGTGGACATGCAGTGGACAGCTTTGGGGGCAGCTGAACGGGCCTGGCGTTCCTGAGCACTGAATGTCAGTGGATAGCCAGTGGATGTGTTGGAACGAACTAGCCGAGGGATCGCAATGTGATTCGCCGTGCCATTGTTCCGATTATGATGTGACAGGCAACACGAGTGCGGCTGATGGAGATTGTCAAAGCAAACAAACCATCCTGCATGGAAAACAAGCTCTAAATTGCCCGTCCACCCGTTCGCGACGGGTTCACCCGCTGTGTGACTGTGTTGGTTGTCGGAGAAAAAGTTTGGCGCCCGATGAACCCGTGTTCTGCATCCCGTCTGGCATCTCCACAGCTTAACGGACTGACTGGTCGCAAAAACAGGTCACTGGGATGGCGGGCTGAGGCGATGCCCGCGGCTGCCCGAACCATGGATGTGAGGCTGTCAGATGCAACACAAACTTGGGGCTGCAGCTATCCAGCGCGACGTCTGCAAGCGAACCGCCGATCGGTCATGGCCATACGGGCCGAGGCTAATTTCGTTGAGAGTCTTGGTGTGAGAGTAAGACGGACTGCCATGAAGCAACATCAGTTATGCGTATTATGTATAGACATCTGTTATGTATCTCAACAGCTTCACACTAGTCGGGCTGTAGACAAGAAAAGAATGATAAGATGTTTTTCCTATCTCTGTTATCTCTCTTTCTTTGGGTCCATTTTTTAAATCTCCGACATCTCCTCCCCGCGCTTATTAATCCGCCTGCAGCCGGACATTCGGCGCATAAATAAAAGAAGCGCAAAAGATCCCCTCAATGGCGCCATTGCTTCCCTTGATATCCCTCATTATAATCCCCAATTCCATTTATCTGTCCTTCTCAACCAATATATGCCTTGTAGTACTCTCAACATGGGCGAGGCACCTCCCGTCAAAGAGCACCTAGTCATCACCTACGCCCGCGATCTTCCGCAATGGCTGATCGACGAGACGCAGGACAAATTCCCCGACGCCGAACTTTCCATCTTGCAGCTACCCAATTTCGCGCCAATTCCTGCTGGTCAGTGGTTGCATCTCAATCCCTGTTCACCCTGAGCCCATCATTAACTAGCTGAACATACCAGAAATCGCACGCAAAACCACTCTACTCGTCACCTTTAGCAATCTCCCAGCCCCGGAAGATGCATCCAAGTAAACCCTCCCCCCTGTCACCCCGGAAATCAGCTACAGAAATAGAACGAAATTAATATAATTCAATTTAAAAACAGAATCAAACTCATCCACTCCCTCTCCTCCGGACTCGATCACCTCCTCTCCCACCCCATCGTCAAAGAAACCTCCATCCCTCTCACCTCCAGCTCCGGCATCCACGGCCCCCCAATCGCCGAATGGACCATCATGAACTGGCTCGTCGCCTCGCGACGCTTCGTCTACACTCACGAGAACCAACAGAAACATATCTGGGCCAAGAATGTCGACTTCATGAATACTGTCCATGATCAAGTTGGCAGGAAAGTCGGAATCCTTGGATATGGAAGTATCGGACGACAAAGTACATTCGCACCCCTCCCTCTCCACATTATCAAGAAAATTACTAACAATGGGAAAAGTCGGCCGCGTCGCCTCGGCCCTCGGAATGCAAGTCCACGCCTACACAGCCTCTCCTCGCCCGACTCCTGCCTCCCGGAAAGACAACGGCTACATCGTCCCCGGCACCGGCGATCGCGACGGCACGATCCCTGTATCCTGGCACCATGGGACAGACAAAGCCTCAATTCACGAATTCCTGTCTCTGGGGCTCGACCATCTGGTGATCGCGCTGCCGCTGACTCCGCAGACCACCCGCATGCTTGGAGCTGAGGAATTCGAAATCCTCAGTAATGGTGTGTCTGCGGGTCGACCGCGTCCGTATCTTACGAATATCTCTCGCGGCAAGGTGCTTGATCAGGATGCGCTGATTAAGGCGCTGAAGGAGGGAGTGCTAGGTGGAGCTGCGCTGGATGTGGCGGACCCGGAACCCTTGCCGGAGGATAGTCCGCTGTGGGACACGCCAAATGTGCAGATCAGTCCGCATGTCAGCTCCGCAGGGAGGGAGTATATTCCGCGTTCGCTGGATATTATGAGGGAGAATGTGGGGAGATTGGAGAGAGGGGAGGAGTTGTTGAACGGATTCAAGAGGGGGAGGGGGTACTAACCCTCATTATTGGTTGAATGAATTCATGTATATGACTTTTGGTATTATTAATTCATGACTAGTTCATACATAAACTAACTGACTGAGAGACTTCAATTATTGAGTAAGCCAGCCCCGAATACCTTCTTCTGCGACCACGCCCAGCACGCCTGCTCCAAGAACAACCCACGTCCAGGGATTCACTACCTCGGTGAAACCGGGCCAGAAACTATTCTTCTCGCGGCGCCAACTCTGCAGCTGCTCGTATTTGTGCAAGTCCTCAGAGCGGTACCGTGTCTCCTGGCTGGCTTCGGTCTGGCGGTCGCCGCCGACGAAGCGGAGGAAGAAGTAGTTGGTCAGGGGACCGAGTAGGACGATCGGGTTGAAGTTGTTGGCGATGTTGAGAACGGCGAAGGAGATGTGGACGAGGGTGTCGCCGAGGTAGCTGGTTTCATTAGCTTGAGATCCTTAAGAAGTATGAGAGTGAGGATGGGAAGGAATAACTTACTTGGGGTGTCTGACGATACTCCACACGCCGTGCTTGCACAGATCGGTCCGTTCCTGACGGTGCATCTCGAGCTGCGCATCGGCCATAACCTCCATGGCGAATCCAGCGCCGAAGAGTGCGACACCGATTGCGCGCACGACAGACTGGACGTCGCCGTCCAGCGACAACGTCGAGGAAGTCAACCGAAACGGCACAGTGAAGGGCAGGGCGATCAGGGTGAGGAAAGCCGCCTCAGGTAGATACTGCTTGAGCAGAGCCGAGGTCCAGAACCCATTGGGGTCTTCCTTCTTCAGCTGGTCATAGCGAGGGTCATCCTTGCCGCGGGTGATGGTCCGAGAAGCGATGCGAGTAAAAAGCCGAGTACCCCAGACCGTAACACAAGTCAAGAGAACCTTTTCCGTCCAAGAAAGAGTCGACCAGGCAGTTTGTGGGGAGATGTTGTGGTAGTAGACTTGGTGTCCGATAGCGCTCCACCAGGCGTTGATGACTTGACTAGAAGGCCAGCACCAGTCCTTGATTTCGGCGCGGTCGGTGGCCTTGGAT